GCAGTGTGACACCCAAAAGCATGAGAAAACAGGAAGGCGACCGAGACAAGTAGGTCACGGTCTGTAACTCCAGCTGTGGAGCGTAGGTCGAGAGCCAAAGCCATAAGCACATGACAAGCCAGGCAGCCCTGTGAGAACAGGCTGGCCGTTGTAGACACAGAAGACAGGCCCCGTTTCAGAAAGCCTTTCATCCAGCGGGGGAATGTGATACGACTGTGATTCCTCCTGTGTGGCAAAATGGCATTGAAAAAGGAATGCGTGTTGTTACTCCCCGTACTCTGGAGTGATTTGCCAAGGGCCATGTTCATGGCAACACTATTCCCAATCGCCAAAAGCTGGAAACTACCCAGATGTCCATCAACTTACGAATGGATAAACGAAGCATAGTATTGCCATACAATGAACTTCTTCAGCCCTGGAAAACAATGAAGCACTGATCCACGCTACGACATGGCTGAACCTTGGAAACGGTATGCTAAGAGAAAGAAGCCCTTTACAAAAAGGCCATTGCACATGAGTGCGTGTATATGAAACCCACAGAATAAGCAAGCCCACCGTGATAGCAGATTAGAGGTAACCAAAGCATGAAGCTGAGGGGTTACTGAGAGGAGAGGCTGCTGCTTAGACGGTATGGGGCCTCCTCCTGGGTTGTTGAAAATTCTAGAACTAGAATTTTCTAGTGTCGATGACTGCACAACTTCATGGATGTATTTTCTGGGCAGAGCAGGGAATCCGAACACCACAATTTTATAGACACCACACGCACATACCAGCACTGTTGATGACCTCCAGATTCTGCACAGTTCTGACTTGGTGGCTAATGGGTATTTCTAGGGAACGAGGTAACAATGTTCCCTTTACATAATCTCTGACAGTGATGGGTGTTCAGAATCCTCTCTTCAGCAAACCACCAGCTCTGGCGGATGCAGTATGCAGCTCAGATGCTTCATGGGCCCCAGGGTTTTGAAACTCTCGGCAGCTCATTCTCCCTCTCCAGGTAACTCCCTCTCCTTCGGCACAGGGACTTTTGTGATAGAGTTTCATATAACCAGGGCTGGACTGTGAGCTGGCGCCTCAACCAGGCTCAAAGCAGACTTCCCTCCTCAGAGAAAGGACGAGTACGTGTCCTGATCTGTGCATCCCACGGGGTGACAAAGGCTGTGGGGTTTGCCCAGAGTGAAGCGCGTGAGTCACTTTGGTGGGGACACAAAAGGAAAAAAGGCACGAGCAACAAACCAGGGGCCATGTTCCTGCCACTCCCCATCTGACTGGGGGAGATGTGGCTGCATTCACCTTCCCACGTTAGACCTCCCTCATCTCTCAGACCTACAGATCCTGGCTAAACGAGGAAGCTACTCCAAGGACAGAGAGCATTGAGAGCCCCAGTGGAACTGAAAAAGAGCAGGCTCTGGAGAAGGGTATCTGGGAAGGGGGTTGAGAAACCTGGCAGGGGTCCTACCAGGACCTCCTCTCCACATGCATGACTGGGCTGTTTTCCCTCTGATTCCCTGAGGCTTTAGCCCTTAATGTGCTCATTTGGACCTTCAATAGCATCCATCTCAATAGGAGAACGTCTCTGAGTGGGAACGCATCAAGGATGGACTGTTTTCAGGACAAGGCTGCAGCAACAGGAATGAGCCTGATGCTGCTGACTTAGGCTGTGAAGATTTTAACCTCTCTGAGCCAAAAGACAGAGCAACTGAGGCAAAATTATCAGAGCAGAACCTTGGTGGACAGAAGATGCATGCAGGAAGACTTAGAAAATGCCTTCAGAGCCTCAAAGATTGTCTTTGGGGGGGGGCAAGTGGGAGAGGGAGGGTTGTAATGATTCAACCCAGGATAGGGCCAAGGACAAATCACTGCCTAATCTGTGATTAGGACAGATTCGTGGGTGGGAATCTAATTCTAATGGTGGGACAGTTCGTCATCACCAGCGAGGGCAGGTCCTTCCCAGATCTGTGCCTCCACCAGATCTGAGCATGGCCCAGGCTCTGTTTCTCATGCCTCTTCCAGAACGCCTGTCTTCACTCCCTTCTCCGGCCATCTCTGTGCCTCCCTTGTGTTACATGAAACCACATGAGTCTTTTAAAGGGTCTCAATAATTTATTTAGGGGTAAAGTGGGGATAAACACTCGCTGATGCAGATAGACAGTGCTGTGATCCAGCTGCTGTGTCCTGCTGTTCTGCCAAGGGAAGCTGGGTTCCAAACACCCAAGAAAGCAGGAGAATGTGTGACTCCTCCCCCATGGCTTTTAAGTGGTCACATATGCAAACAAGATCATGCCTTAGGGCTTGAGGCCCCAAAGGTCATTGGCTAAACAGACTGAAATCCCACAACACTTTTCCCTTTTTTCTAAATAAGAAGGTTCTAATCCTAACATAAAACTATCTACAATAAGAACAACTATTAAATATTGTACAGAGAAAGAAAAGGTAATAACAAAAGCAAAAATGAAACTACAACCAATAAGAACAACATCAAGCAAGAAACACATTCTAAATGTCCAGGTCATAAGTAATTAGCAAATTACAGAGATTATTCCAATAGCTGTCTTATCCTGGACAGTCTAAGTATTATACCTAATATGAACTAGCTAAGATATGAGAGAATTACAACTGTAACTATC